ATTGGCCGCTATTACACCCATCAAATCATGTGACTTATTATACTAAGGCCTACCTGCGCATCGAGGGCGGTAGGGGGTGGCGGCTTTTTTCCCTCAGACATGCAAGCAATTAAAATATATTTTTCTTATAGTCTCTATCTTTATAGTTAGACCCGGTGAGACTATCATAATTCTGTGCGTACGCGACAACATGGACATTGCACGTTGTCGCGCGGGTACCGCCCGTGCACTTAATTTGCATCGCGAGCTTTTTATGCGCGTCGTATGTATATTCCAACTCGCTTATTAATTTATATTATAGATGTATCGTCGAAGCCGCAGCGATCGGCAGCAAAGTGGCAGCGCATTATACATTCTATATCGTATTATATTGGCAACGAGACGAGACGTGCACTTGTGCCTCGTGTTATTCATTACGCACGTGTGCTATATGTCTACGAGCGAGAGAGAAAGAGACACGATCGGCTCGAGTCACGTCGCAGCAGCTGCTGCTGCCGTTGCGACTTACGTCGATACATTGTTTGTGTGTGTATTATAGGAAGCCTTATACGCCAGAAATATTCGCGATCGACGTCTCTGCGTCGTATTACACGAGTGTGATATGTGCGTAGCTGCATGCTGCTCTTATTGCCTGCCGCCGCGGGTTGTGCGGGTTGTGAGCCGCCACGGAGAGCCCGTTTTAGAATAAGAAAAAAATCAATGGTAGAAAAACTACCTTGTGTGACGTTCGCTAGGACGCAATTCTCTGTATTATACACACTTAACTCAACCATCGTCATAGCTTAGTCACTGCATATATATAGTGATGTCGATGCAGTGGCACGTACGGACGTTCAAGACGCGCACCCCCCGACGACGAATCGACCCCTTTGACTACGCGACTACCTTCACGTCTGTGTGTGTATGTGTGGGTTTGGAATTTCGCACAGCAGCAGCACGTCGATCGTTACGTGCGCCATCGCTCGGTGCACAATAACCCATGATGTACTCGCGCATTGTTTCGAGGAATTTGCGCCTAATATCCATAGGTGCGCCATTGCAATCAAATATTTGCCCCCAACAATGACGAATCCTTTGTACGAGATGTTTATTTTACTTTACTTTATTTTATTATTTTTTTTTATTACTGACGTTGGTGTAATAAAAAAACAATATTACAAACCTTGGGAAGAGAATAACGTAAAGTGCTCGGCAGTTCGTATACGTACGCGTGACATTGATGATTTTTTCACGTACGCAGCGAGAAAAAGGAATATAAGTAGCCTGCTCGCACTGCTTCGTCTATTGTTTACTCCGCGACGTTTCTATGATTTTGTCCCGATAACTCGCGGTGTCACACGTGCATCGTGCCTACACGATTATTATTATTTTTTTATTATTTGTTTTGTTGCTGCTGCTGGCATCGATCGATCGATCGATCGCTTCGAGCTCGCGTATGCTGCATAAGCAAACGCCGAACGAGTGTGTGACCCGCTCGTCTCGTGCGCGTGCTTCGTCAAGAGTAAATAAAAATGAAATTTAATTAATAAAAATAAATGAGGAACACATAGTGAATGTGAGATTTTTAACGTTATAGCGAGAGAGAGAGCGCGTCGTTGCACAGTAATTCGCATCGAAAGAATTGAAATGGAATAACGCGCGAATGTGCGATAAGCAATTTCGTGCCTCGTGCATTTAATCTTTACAATTATTATGTTTATATAGCACTCGCTCGTTTGAGAGAAAGAAAAGGAAAAAAATAAAAGCTACGATTCGATAAAAATCGACTTGTCTTTACCGTACACGCGTGCAACCACCGCTGGCTTACACTGTATACAACTAACGTGGCTTGTAAAAAAGAAAATCCTTATCTGATTAAAGCCGATCGCTCGAACAACAACAACGAAAGGGAGGCATAGACATTGTTTTTTTCTCTTTCTCTTCGCTCTGTGTACGAGCGCCGAGCTATTTATTAGATTATTTGCATGGAATCGATGAGAGTTCGGTGTAGGTAGGTATAAGTTCGAGCTTCTTAAAGTGCAAGGTGGTGGCGCAGCTTCGTGTGTAATGTCTATTACACTGCCGCGAGCTCTGCTCATCGATTGTCAATTATTCAAGTCGAGTTCGTATAAACAGGGAGGGTTGTTGTTCGATACTTTTGTACGTGTATTCGTCTTTGTAGCACGAGCTCTGCAAGCTTTATGTATACGCGAAAACGTGTGTAACTCGCACGACGCTTTGCGGTTTGAGATGCGAGCGGCATGCCATGGCTTCTTTTGTGCTCCTCTTCTCAACCGTGTGCCACCCAATTGCTTATTTCCTTTTTTTTGTGCACTGCACCCCCGCGCGCAAACACATATAATGAATTTTAAATCCAACCGTATCCGCAGGTGCGATGCATTAGCTCGATCCTTTTATCTTCTCCCTTTTTCCTCCTTGGAAACTACCATAATACGATTACACGCGAGAAAAAAAAAGTATAAAGAAGACGACGCTTCTCTCTCTCTCTCGGTAAAGAGGTATTACGTCGTAGCCTCGGACGACTTCATTAGACCACGCGCGGCATTACGTTGTAACAAACTTTGGTACGTACACGATATCGATCGCGCGCCGATATATATAATGCGCGCTACAACTACGTGCTCTCGGACACGAGCTTGCGCCGCGACGGCCGTGTCAGCGACCGAATTGAAAAATCCACCTCGCCACCGCCGTCGGCGTTTGTCGTCTTTATCAACTATGTCGATGCGGGTACGCGCGCCGACATGTTACGTGCATACTCGCGCTGATCGACTTCTTAATTTTCTTTTAAATATTTCAATATACACATAATACGTATATGCGACTCGAGAGCTGCGAAGCAATTACACATAGAATTATATTAGGCGCACACAGGCGTGCGCTGTGGCACGATATTACGACGCTCTCGCGAGTACATCGCGTGTGCGTGCAATATTGTACTCGGGAGAGATATAGCACGTATATACCAGAGAAACTTCGTTTAGCCTTAATCATGTCGTATAGTAATTATACACGTAAGGGTTCCAATTGTGTATAGGCTGCTCGCTTTCGGTGCATTATACAGACGCACGACAGACTCGACGGGGCAAAATCGATTAGACTAACCGACGACGGAGGTGATGACTTTTCCTATGTAAGAATCTACCGTCTATATAATACATGATAATAACGTCAAAGCCCGAGTTCAACTGTGCGTGTAAAGCGCAATGGAGCCGTTTTACGTAATATATAGATCGACGAGTCTTGTCCACGTGCGGGCGTGCGTCGGACGACCTCTCCCCCTCGCTTCGAAGTACGAACTTTAAGTATACAGATGTTTATTCATCGATAACCCGAATAAATCGTATTGGCTTCCAGACGGCTCTTTGATTTTATTTATCTGATAAAGTACACGAGCGAGAAACGTCCGTTTGGAACAATAATAAGATCGCTTTTACGCGTACACGTGTCGATGAGCCCTCCGATCCGAACTCTATTAACGTTAATTAAAAATCCCTTAACAACGCGACGTCGCGCGAGAGCTGCTAAAATTAACCCCCCCGCGTATTTATCGAGTTTTTGTCTGGCTAAGTGTATCGAACTGTTAACGGTCGGAATTTCTCTCTCTCTCTCGCGCTCATTAAAGCGTTTTTCCTGTCAGCGGCATCCCCTGCGCTCTCAGCAATTAAGTCCCAATGGCATACAGTCGATTTTTAAATACATACATATATAGAAGCACAAACTTTGGGCTGCTCCTCGAGTCGCCTGCAGCTTTTAAATTTTAAAAGGGGGTAGTTATGTAGCGGACATTCGTGCCCATACGCGAGCGCCGAGCTCCATTACTTTTTTACGAGTCGCGACCATTAAGAAAGTTGTAAAAGTATCAGGATTATAAAAGTAAAATCGCTCGTGTAAATGTCGAGTATCTGCATTTATATATGTATACGAGGCACTGTGTACTTTGGTACGTGTGCCGTGTGCATAAAACGTTAGGCAAACGTTGTTGGAAGTCGTTTGAAGAATCAAAATTTATATATGAATGAAGAAATGTAATATTCAGTTGAATCATTTCTCGAAACTTCGTTAAGACGCGGATATTTATTTTTCTCCGAGTGAGAGAGCGAGAGTGAGTGAGAGCCCTTGAAAATGAGAGAAAAAAAGTAATAATAACGCGTATAATCTTTCCTAGAAACAGCTCCTTTAACTGAATAATATGTAGGTTACTGCGTCTCGGCGACCAGGGAACACGAGAACCTTCTTTTTTAGCTATATAGCGCTCGCTCGCCCGCACACGGTATACGGAAAAAACAGAAATGGTATATGTATACCTGCGAGCCAAAGTAGAATTTATCGTTATTATCTTCATCGAGTAGAAAGGGACAATTTTCACCTTGATTCATTCTCTCTCTCTTACCTTCGAACTACGTTAAATGATGTTAAAATGTTCGCGAGAAAAATCTCATCTAGCCTGCCAAACAGAATGGCGGCGTATTTTATTATCTTTGCGAAATGTTGACTGCGCGTAACACAGAGTTAAAATCCGCGAAATTTTCTGCACATACTTACCCATTTACTCGGTCGTTTTATATCCTCTTTTGAAAAATTGATATGCTAAATATTGTAAGCAATTTTGAAATGATTCAGTTACCATGGACGTCCGTAAATCACGAAACGAAGGTTGTAGAATTTAGGGAATTAGCATTATAAAATTCGCATAAGCTTGAGAGTTTGAACATTTTATAAGCTTTAAAATTAGTAATGTGCTTTGATTTTTTTCAAAAATTTATTGATTTTTTTGAAACATTAATTTTACATCATAAGATAACATTGAAAAAACACATTATCACATCGTTAAGGAAAATTTTTTAATTAGTCGTATGAAAATATAAATTAAGTTGTAAAATATAGGTTAAGTTGAGGTAGCTTTTTCTTTTGAATTTTTTTCTTATATATCAAATCCATGTTCGATTTTTCTATGAACGAAATCGATGTGAATTTTAAGATTACCCTGTGTTAAGCATTTCTCTCCTCATTCATCGAATGCGTATTTGATACCATTGTGAATCTTATCGATGTGGTGTTTGAGATTACTCCATACGTGTGACATACATGATTGATACCATTATGTACTGAATCGATATGAATTTTCAGATTACACTTTTGAGAAAATGTCTTTCCGCATATATCACAGTTAAAAGGATTCAGATTATTATGCACTGAATCAATATGGTTTTTTAGACGATCCTTTTGTGAAAATGCCTTTTCACATACATCACAGTGAAAAGGGTTCCGATTATTATGCACTGAATCAATATGTTTTTTTATATTATTCTTATGTGAAAATGTCTTTCCACACGTGCAGCATTGATGATTGATACGATTATGTACTAAATCGAAATGGGTTTTCAGACTACTCTTTTGTGAAAAAGTCTTTCCACAAGTGTTACAGGGGTGATTGATAAAATTACGTTTCGCATCAGAGTAGCTTTTGAGATGAAAGCCTTTCGTATATGTCTTGCCACATACATCTCGTGAGTAAGCATTAAGATGATGTAATGATATGACATGATTACTCAGACTGCTCCTGTGTGAGAATTTCTTTTCGCATATTTTACATACGAGGCTTGTATCATTCTGCTCCGTACCGATGTGAGTTTTGAGGTTATGTTTGTTGTTGACATTTTTTGTAATTACTCTTTTTTTATTTTGTTTTTCAACTTTACGATCGAAATTCAAATTCGGTTCTCTGCAATTCCGTCAATAATTTCTTCTTTCACTTCACTCGTGTTTTCTATCTTAATTATGTTTTGAGATTTACAACCATCATTATACTTTATTTTCTGTAAATAATTTGGAGAAACATTTTCAATTTTTTCAATTGCCAATAAATCCATTTCGGGTTTCACGTCGTTGCATTCAACAACTATTTCTAGTTCGTTATCAAGTTCACTTTCAAGTTTGACGTCACATTTTCGAAGGGCGTGGGTCTGTTGATAAATGAAAACTGTGTGAGAATTTTCTTAAAAAACAACGTAATTATCAGTTTTATATTACTATCAACACTTACTGAATTTTCTGATAAAAGTGGTAAGAATTGGCCAAGATCTAAGCTTTTAAGATCGGGTTTCTCCTCAAACATTCCAAAATTATTATGAATAAGCGACATATCAGTGGATTCCTATTTCACTCTGAAATAACCTTATTAAGATTAGGTATTTTGCTATAAAATTTTTGAAATATCTTCCTCATTCCATGAAAATTACCTGATGGTACAATCGCGTATATAACACTCAATCTTTTTGCGATAATTTTCTATATCAAACTATAACTAAAATTAAAAATGATAAGACCGATGAAGAGCGATGGGCGAGACTCGCTATGAAAAACTGCGTCTATGTGAAGAGCGCTAGCACCGCACAGCTAGCCCTCTATGTACCGCAATGGCACGCCCGGCCAAACACCGTGTGCCGGACAACACGCCGAGGTCGCGTGCATACGACGTACGACGTAAACAACAGAACGAATACAGCTGTGCATGCTCTTCGTATTAGTTTTCCCATGAATTATAGCTCAAATTTATGTAGGTAACATTTACAAATCATGAATTATGAAATCTCGAAGATAGTATCATGAATAATAGACATTTGTCTATCACCGACGTATAATTACGAAATAAAATAAATCAAAAAACGAATCTACGGTGCACGAATCGCACTAATGCAGAGCCAGCATTATAATATAGATCATCCTGCAGGCGGGCAAGTTTCGCGCTTTTCTAATCTATATCCAGTGCCGGATTTACTTTTTTAAGGCCCATAGGCGGAATTTTTGTGGAGGCCCCTTTGAGATGAAAATTTTTCATAGGAATGGAAAAATGATCAGATTTTCAGTTAATAATTTTTTTTATTTATTTATAAATTAAATAAACAATAATTCAAGGATTAAAGCTTTATAATATATTATTTTTAAGGGGTTATATACACCTTAAACTTAAAATTTTGAGTAGGATTTTTCCTCCACTTTCCATTGAATTATTGAAAACCAAAATGTTGATTCTGTACTGAGTTACCGCTATTTCCGTGAGCCTTTTTCCTATACTACACGTGTGAACTTTTTTTCTCTTTTGCGTTTTTTGGATAGTTGTGTTTTTAGTCACCTGTCGTAATATTCAGAGGGTACCGATTGAGCTTTATGCACCAGGGTTGCGTACACTTCTTCAGAACATGAATGCTAATACGGCCACTATCATGGGTGAGATGATCGAACTCATAGATCACTGAATGGTGGGTGCGTCGTTACCCGAGCCTTCTACACTCGTAAGAAAAATTCAACTCGATTTTAAGTATTTTAACGATTTTTTCATAAAATCATAATATTCCAATGGGCCCCACCACGAATCATCACCAAATTATGGGGAAAAATAGTTTTTGAGTAGCAGAATCGAGTGGTATGTCTATTTTTGGTGTGCGTGATTTGTAAAAAAAATTGTATAATTACAATACAATAAAAATATATACATTATAATGAAAATATATTGTTTGGCAACTTGCAAATTATATGGTGCATTTTTTGAAAAGCGTGATATGACATGTTTTGTTATCGTAGCTATAAGAAAACTTTAAAAAAATGAAATCTAAGACGGTAGAACTTTTTATTTTACAGTATTCTACCTTCCGCAACTATGAAATTTTCTAAAATTACGACCCATTTGATTTTTCAGCTAGATAAACATGCAAACTGTCCCCTCCGTAACCTGTCCTGAACTCAAAATCGATTGTTTTTATTTACTATACGCACTTTTACAAATATCCAGTAATAATGTGGTACGGGGGCGGGGGCCCTATTCTAGACATCCTACATAAAGTTTCTTTACGTCACTCGTCATCTTAAATAGTATAAAAACAATTGTACATAAGTAATAAATGTGTCTTTAAATGATGTGAAATTTTACGTCATTTTGGAATGACATTTTGAATGTATATTTGAATATAGGGCCAGTAAACGTGGCTAACTATACGAGGGTCATCTTTCAGAACTAAGGTACTCGATTTTTACCCGTAGAATATTCAAATCTTAGCTGCAGCTTCGCTATAACAATAATTGCACACGAAAATCGTTGTAGTAAAATATAGTGTCCTCTCTGTTATCGACAAATTGTCGATCTATTTTTTTTGTTTTTAACTCTAGTGGTTCGTTTTCACAAACAAATTTTGTGGGTAGTTAGTAAAAAAAATTTTAAATTTGTTGTCGTCGTAAAACTTAATAAAAGTACGATTTATCCATTCCATGACAAATTGTCATGTTTACTACAAGAAAATTAACGCATTAGATGATGGCCGAAAAAAATAAATATTCCATGAAAAAAGAATGAATCGAGTGTCAGAAACTACGGGGGTCCGTAAAAATTAAACTCAAAACAGAAGAAAGTAAGTTTTTCAGTTTTTCTAAAATTTTCCATTTTACCTACTCGAAATAGCACACTTTTAAAATAATGGACCATATAAGTAGTAATTGAGATTTGAAGGTTTTTTGATCTTTGAGAATATAATATTCAATATGTATTCGGAGTAACCAGAGCGACCCGCATTTTTTAACTTTGAATAGATAAGAATGAGCAATGAAAGAACAAAAATTAAAAACATTGCAGAGCCAGGTTGATTTAGTGATTGCATAATTAAAGACACAAAAAAGGCACCACCCAGCTCGATTCGATCTCTTAAGATTGTATTCTGAAAGGTTCAATTGTCTATTTTATATTTTTAAATCATTTTTTTTAAATTTTTTCCTTTTGTGGGGGCCCCTTATTTTGTGGGGGCCCCTAGGCGCCGCCTAGTCCGCCTATATGGTAAATCCGGCACTGTCTATATCTACGACTTCCGTTTCTAATTCTCCTCGATCTGTGCTCGCGAGGCAAGAGAAAGAGAGCTGTGGAACTTGGCATGAACGCTGACGACTGTCTGCGCGTGGGGTTAACCTCTCGAAGGCTGCGCTAATCAATCTCATTGATCGGAAAAGGTACGACACTCGCGGTAACACATTAATAAAGAGAAAGAGAGAAAAGGACTCGGCCGACCTTAGCCTACAATGCGCATCGCCGAGATATAGCTTGGCCTCGATCGAAACCCGATGGTACACACATCGCGTCAGGGGCATGTCTCGCCAGAAGCGGTTTACTTACATTCGTATCTATTTCTTTCTCTCTCTCGCGTGTGCACGTGTGCGATATTATACGTTATAGGAGGGCGAAGGAAATATCTAAACGAGCCCGCGGATCGACGCGTCGATCAGTTTCAACCGCTCGAAATGCGTCTGCCCGAAGTTTCAAGTCATTTTTTTTCAATCAACCCTCTAATCCGTGCTGCAGCACATTCAATGATCGAGCGTACTAAAATTGTATCGACCGTAAAATGGAAATGCGTAACGATCAATCGTCATATTTACGGAAAACCAACGGAATTCACAACTTTCATATCGAAATATGTCAAAGTATTCCATACTTATTGCTCGAAATGTAGAACACGCACGATAAAGCGCGCTTTACATGTATACGCGCGACGTTCGGAAAATTTCATTTCGGCAAAATTTAATAACGTCGAATTTGCATCGAATTAATTTCACCGCCTATACGTATGCGTGTTTCAACCCACGCTCTATATATAGTCAGCTCTCTCTCTCTCTCTTTCTCTCTCTCGGCAATTGCAATCTTTTTTCCAAACAAAAGATCAGCTGTCACGCAGTTTGCGAATAATTCGTTCACAATCGCTGCTGCTGCTACGCGAGAAAGATGCAATTGAAAACAAATAAAGTATGACTCGTCGTCGTCGAACGCGCCGTCGATGAAAAAAAGCTGAAATGTATGATAAAAACTAAAAATAGAAGCGCGTATGCAACACACATATACGCGAACGATCGAGCGATACGCGCGCGTGTGTGTGTGTTTTTCTCGCACTCTCTCTCCAGCACGTGAATTAATTCTTGCAATGTGATAATATTTTTCCCCATTTCCGATAGCGCGTAGGAATACGGACTTGAAAATATCGCTCGAGAAATTTGCGACCGAGTGCGGAGGAGGCTGCTGCTGCTAAGCGCCCATGGGGAAAGGAGAAAAGTTCGTCCTCCTATTTTTCCACCCTCGGCTCCTCCGCTCACTCGGCAGTTCTAAATATAAACGCGAAAATAATACGTAATTCGAGCCCTGTCGCTCGCACGCGCAACGATATAGGAGCATAATAACATTATCGTCATCTCTCGTGTCTTTTTTGTTCGCAGGCTGTGCACTCTGACGCTCAGCAGGCTGGTGGTGCTGCGGCCGCTCGGCCCCGAGCTCCAGTCTATCAGTCTGGCCGTGAAGATGCAGAGCTCGAAGCGCACGCTGCGCTCCAACGAGCTCACGCTGCCAGCGGGCGGCCTCCTCGACACCGAGCTCGAGCTCCAGTTCGCCCTCCAGTATCCGCACTTTCTCAAGCGCGACGGCAACAAGCTCCTCGTGCTGCTCCAACGCAGAAAGAGATACAAGAATCGCACCATGTTGGGCTACAAGACCCTCGCCGAGGGCGTCATTAACATGGCACAAGTGAGTGTATATATATATCTGTTATGTAACTCGACGTCGTCCTATTTGTATGTCAATCGCGACGATTATCTGAACGAGCTTGTGTACTCTTGGCAATTCTTATCACTACGTGACTAAGACATATTACTCGCGGTGATTCACGCAAAGCTCGAAACAAAAAATTAAACGGCCCGTATCCTTTTTTCTGTACAGGTGCTGCAAAAACAAATGGACCTCGAACTGGAGCTGGTCTCGGACAAAGCCGAGAAGTACGGCGGCCACGCGCTGGCGCGAGTTCACGTGATGGGCCTGTGCTCGCAGCCGGTCGACCAGGACAAGCGGCTGATCAACGACCCGAGCGAGCGACTGTGCCAGGAGTTCAGCGACGACGAGGAGGAGTTCAGCTCGGAGGCCGAGGCCGAGGGCAGCGACAGCGAGCCGACCATCGAGGTGACGCGGAGAAAGAGCCGCAACAAGATACCCGGCAACGCCAGGGTAAGAATAATGCGCGAAATTACGTTAAAAAAAAAGCCCGCGAATGGATTAATCAACCGTTTCTCTCTTTCTTGCTAGCAACGGAACTTGAAGCAGAAATTCATAGCTCTGCTGAAGAGGTTCCGAGTATCCGAGGAATTGGAACACGATCAAGAGGAAATTGGTCAAAAGCTAACAGGTTAGTTGAATCAATATTCCGCGCGGCCGAGTCGCGCGACACTGTATGTGCGGAGAGTGCACACCGTGTGCTACCTATTTTCCTCCACATATCTACCACTTTCATATATAACACTTACACACACACGAATCCGCGGCTCGACTAGACTCGAGCTCTCCTCGCAATCAGCCAACAACTTGTTTCTTCTTGAATTTGTGCAGCACTTACATATAATACGGCACGACCTCGTTTCCATGCCCCCGCGCCTAATCGAACCTCGCTAGTAACCCCCGCCCGACGTCGATACTCTCTCTCGTATACACTCTTTGCAACGATCCCAATGTTATATATCGTTTTCTTCGTACACGTTTTTTTCATCCACTTTTTTTTCTCTTTTTTATATAAGGAGGCGAAATGGAAATCGAAGAGCTGTTCGACGAGCTCGAGGACATGTCCGACAGCGGTCCCGAATTGGACACGATGTCGGTCAGCAGCACGCCCAAACCGTCGCTGAGGCCTTTCTTCAGTTCCAGTCGCTCGCTGCTGGCACCGACGCATCCGGGTAAGTCATGCTCGATTACAACGACGACAAAAAAAATCCCCAAGACATTACCTTTTTTTTTACTTTCTCTCTCTCTACATCTATCTATCTCTCTCATTTTCTCATTGTTACATCGATTCCATACGCTTTTATATTACGATCAAATGTATAGTTGATGAACATATTAGTGATACTTGATATCCAGTAAATCCTTTTTCATAAGTTCGACGGTATTATACGATTATTGCAGCTTTTTATATTGTAAAAGTAGCTTTTTTTATCGAAAAAGTTCGAATCGAATATATACGTATTGACACAAATCGCATTACATTAGATGTCGATTTTAAAAAAGACCAAGTCGATGTTCGTAGATTACACGTATCATCTCTTCGATTTCAATGCGAAAGATATAAAACTTTTTTTTACGTAGCCCAAATTTTATACGACAGTTTGAGGCACGAGCTTATAACTTTTTCTCTTTCGTCGTAATCGCTTTGATTGAATATTTTTTTCCGAGCGATCCAAGAGTGGGCTTTTTACGCGCTGGAACGAAACGAAACGAAACGAAAAAAATTACTCATTTTGCGAATGTGCATCAGCTTTTTACAAAAGTGTCTAAATGTGATTGAGCCGATGCTGCTTTTGTGTCGTGTACATATATACGCCGTATCAGCGACATTTATTATTCGTTTTATAAGCGCTATAAACATCTTTATTTTTATGTTCATGAGAAAAAAACATGTTGGCTCGAATTAGCTCAAACGCTGCAGTGATTTACGTTTTTATGTAATGGAGAATATGTTTTTTTTTATTTTGCCATGCAGATTAAGTAGTCTCGAGTTATGATCATTTTTCGCGTTAAAGTATAAACGAGTTTTAGCATTTAAATGAAATTGAAACAAAAAAACAAGTTAAAAAAAACCTATTTTCACATAATAATCACTGAAATATACAACCAGTCTTACGTTAATTCGGCTACAAATAACATATCTCTATTCGACACTTACACCAAAGTAGAGTAAAAATAGAAGTAAAAGATAATAAAATGTAAGAAAAAAAACAAACAAACGAAACAAACAACTAAGTGCGAGCCCCGTCCGGGCTTCTTCTTCTTCTTTTTTTTTGGCTTTTGTTGCATTGTTGCATGGGTAAAAAAAATCCGAGAGTAGTAGTAAGCGGCGAAGAGGCAGAGAGTGGCGGTACGGGAGGTCAATCTACTTCGCTACAGCCGAGAGATAGCAAGGATAGATCAAAAATCGGGCATACTACTCCAGGTACGTATCTTTCGGTTATAAAAAAAGCAAAAGAAACAAACAACCAAATGAAAAAAAAATAGAGTCAAGCTATCTTTCTACCTCTATCTCTCTGGCATATGTATAAATTATATTGGTCGCACCTCTATAATAGACTCTCATGTGTATACTACTACTACTACTTTTACTACTACTACTACTACTACTACTGCTACTACTTACTATTACTACTACTTTTGCTGCTATCTACTATCCTATACTACTTTGACATAGGAGCACGAGCGAATTGATTTTGATTGATTGATTGATCGAGTGACGCACACGCACACACACACACTCGCGCACAATTTTCTTTTCTTCTGCTCTCTGTATACATATTTTACCTCGATATATTATACATCAGTTTCTATACCGTTGTCATGTATTATTTACGCATTAGCACTTTTTTTGGCTTTTCATTTTCGAAAGCTCCTTATAAGCTATTTATACATTATTATGAATACATGCGCACTTGATAGAGAGTTGCGAAAACTGCGGTTATCGTATGTAATGTTCACGATCAGACGCGCTCCAATACATTATAAGCACCGTACAATTTATTACATTGATATTATTATAATATATATACTGCAAGCCTGCGCTAATCACGAAGCAAAATACAACCGAACCAAAAAAAAGTCCAAGCTAGTTTATGTGCTTTTACCATATGCGTAGAACAAACAAAACAAAAATTCAGATAAAAGAGAAATCGCATTGACAAGTTATTATGTATCCACAATCTCACAGTGAAAATAGTGGCTCAGGACGAGGAAGATAGTAAGAGCGATTGGAGGCATTTTATAAAAAAGTCCACGCCAACTAAGCAGGCGCCAAACCAACAGCAGCAGCAGCAGCAGCAACAGAGCAAACGGCTTTTCTACAGATAGATCGTCGTCGTAGCGACGAGTCGAAGAGCCGAAGAGTCGCCGAGTCAGCTGAGCTCCGTTGCGCACTGTGTATAGCTGTAAAACGATGTATAATATTCAAGGGCTTGCGAGATTTAACTGAGATTCTTTTCTAGTCGCCATTTACACAATTATATATTATACTGTATACAAACGTGGACTGTAGCTTCGGGCATTTAAAGATTTCATGATATTACGTTATACATATATACTCAATATAATACGTGTTTATAAGCGAACACTTGTGTCGCATAAATTAAATAACTGTCAACTGCTATTACTCCGAGATTCAATTAATTTTAAGTAGCTCAATTCTGTGTATGTTAATGTTAATGATGATAGTTAAATAGCTATGTGATTTTAAAGTAGACTTGAAAACAAGTACGAGCTATAATACATACAAAAAAAGTATATCAATATTTGATGAAACGACTGCATTCACAGAATAAAAGACAAAATAACCATATTAAAGAAAAAGTTTTCGGTAAAATGTTTTCCTTCCACCAAGTGCCTAATGCGACATTTCCAGCGCCGCGTTCTCACGTAGAGACAGAAAAAGAAAAAAGGAAAAAAAATACAAGTTTTTTTCCGTATCGCATGAAAAATGTACGCGCGAAACTGCGTAAATACGTGTATACAGTCGGAGAAAAAAGACAGTGAGAGTGTGTGTTGTATCCCGTCGAGTATCCGTCTATTGTGCGTTTAGTTCGTTTTTTTTTGCTCTCGTTCTTTGTGACATTTTTTTCGACTACATACATTGACGTACTTCTGTCCCTTTCGTCTTTGCTCTTTACTCTTTTGCTTTTCTTTTACCTACTACTGCGCGAGTTGTCCGCTGAAGATAACTCTATATATTCTGTCTACATGCATTCATGCATACGCATTGAGTATTTCATGAATCTCTTTTCTGTGGGTGAGAGGTAAATCATTTATGAATATCGCATCTATACATAATATTCTTTTTCTTTCTTATCTCTATTTTTATTTCCGATTTTTTGGCTGAGATTGTGCAGTTGTTGCTTCACTATTTATATATCTTACACGTACAATTTCTATATATATGTGTAGCCGAAATCTATGTACATAATTCTGCGTGATTTCTTTTCGGAATGCTCAAGCGCACAATTCAATAATTTTCACTCGCTGCTAACCATCATTTGATATATTTCGCAAAAATTTTTCGTTTTTCCATTATATACCATAGAATAGACTATGTAACTTTTTATACTCTTTCTTATAGCACATTGAAAAAAAAAACACCAAAGACACACACGTAAAATTTTTTCTCACTTTTTAGCACAATCTTACAACTCTAACTTTTTTTATACAAAGTTTATATGAAAAAATATATCTCTCACAAATCCACACACACACACCATCCACGCATCATACCGTAACACGCAAACTCGACGCAACGATAAAAAACAAACCAAAAAAAAAATGCAAAATTTCACGATCTAAAAGCATCTCGCATGTTCTCTCTCTCTCTCTCCACCCTGTGTCACTCGATCGCACTCGGGCCTCATCCAGCAGAGCGTGGAATCGACCGGCAGAGCGACGACAGCTCGCGTCGCTGCGACAGCGACTCGCATCCGGAGAACTGGACGGATCACGAGGCCAACAACGACATGATGCAGGCGGCCAACAACGCGAACAATTCCTCGTCGGCGATCCATCAGCAGCAGGCCGGCTCGCCGCCGAAAGCCATGCAATCGGCCTCGCTCGACGGCGCCACACCGGCGGGAGGAAGCACAGGCGGCGCCGGATCCACGACAGGCGGTGGCGGCGGCGGCAACAAGCAAGAGGACGCCGGCAAGCGCTCGCGTCTGTTCGCTCGCGATCGCGGCACCCCGGGCAGCAACAAGGCGAAAAAGTACAGCCTGAGCGTCGACCTGAAGCCCGCCGGGGATCTGAACAACGCCGAGGTCAGTAGTTCGAACACCAGTCTTACTAGCACCCTGAACTACATACCGCGCATGCTCTCGTCCTCGCGCCTAGCCATGTTCCTATGTAAAGCTTCGATTCCCACACAGCCGCGCAAGGCCCTGGTCGAGCAGCTGGGCCGCGTGCTGCCGGACGACGCGCTACCCGACTCGGTCTGCCTCGTCTCGCTCTCGGATCCGGGCGGCGCCGTGCTGGCCGCTCGGTTGCAGGAGGCTCAGCTCAGGGTGCTCACGACGGCCTCGCCCGCCGACGTGCGCGCCACCTTCACCTGCCTCATAGCCCGACTACAAAAGTTGTGAGTATTTAAAATCCTATTACTTATCGATACCTGCGATCGGCTCGATTTTACACAAATGACGATAACGATTTTTTTTCTCCGTCTGTCAACAGCTGCAACAGCTCCGCGAAGCCACCCACAGCCATCAGAGTCGTCGTGGCAGGCGGCGACGGCTTCGTCAACACGGTGCTGCGCTACTACGTCGATCTGCTGGGCTTCAAGCCGCCCGACTGGCAGAACTATCTGCGCTTCCTCATCGTGCCGCTGGGCAGCAACAGCCTCAGCAAGTATCTCGCCTCGGTCGACGGCCAGTACGCTAAACTCTTCGGCGACGAGTGGCGCGAGTTCGCCGAGCGCGACTCCAACTCCTCGAGCCTACTGATGCAGGCCACGAACGACGTGGCCAACCGCGTCGTCGAGTACCTCGCTCAGGCGGACTCGACCCTCATGCTACCCATCGCCGAGGCCATGGTCACGTATCGCGAGACCGACGACAGCAGCCAGATATTCGTCCCCTTCATCAACGACGTGCGCGTCGGCTGCCCGGAGAGCAGCGCCTCGGCCTCCGTCGACCTCGACGAGAACAATTACAACTCGGGCCTGCTGCCCTCGTCCAACGATCGGATGATCGGCTCGCCGCCCTCGGTGCCGCCCGCCTCGAGTTTGCCGCTCGGCTCGACGCCCGGCCGACTGACGCCGCCCAGCAGTCCCAACGTCGGTCAGCAGCCGCAACGAGGCGGCGGTGGCGTCGGCGGTGGCAACGCCGACGCGGGCGGCAACAGCGGCGGTCCCATCGTCTGGGAGCCCGTCGATCTGCAGCTCGATTACTGGGGCAAGGCGGCGGCGCTCGGCGAGAAAGGCAAGAGCTCCCTGAGGCAGGCCTTCAAGGTGCTGCACGTGCAGAGGCTCGCGGCCCCTGGAGAGGCGCCAGGACAATATTTATACATGAGCTACATGACCAAGGAGAAGAAGCAGAAGAGTGAGTATCGATTGATCCTTTTTTTTATTTTATTTTTCTACCCGCATAATGTGTGTGCGCTGCGGATGAGAGTCAAACTTTGTTTTACCGCGCCGAGGAAAAGTGTACGAGAAAGAAAGAAAAAAAAGAACAGCAAGATAAATGTTGCACATTGAACTTTGAAGTGCTGCCGTTGCAACGCAGTGTACAGAGAGCCAGAGATCGGATTTCCATCACTCGCGTAAAAGAAGTTTTGTAATGAGTAGTGGAGAGGAGCTTTGCAAACTTTCTCATTCTCTCTCGCGCGCGGCCAACTCGATGTCGTTACGTATACGAACTTTTCCGCGTGAAAACGCGTTTTATCGTCGTCGTGGCCTGGACGTTTTCAAGTTTAGAAAATGACCTGGACCTACTTTTCGCTGTTCGAATTTGAATTTTTCACCCGACCGGCGCGCGATAAGCGTAAAAATAGCCCCGCAACTGCCGCGGTGCACTCGAGCGTACGTAAAATCAAGCACTCGCACGACTCATTAAACCGCGCGTTATTTGTTTCAGTAATGAGGCTCGGCAAGAAGAAGGAGAAGGAGAAGGAAAACGAGCCAAAAAGCCAACAAGTCGATGGCGTGACTAGGCTCATATGCTCGGCCAAAACCCAAAACATTCCACTGAGAGGTGAGTATAAAAAAAATGAAAAAGAACCGAGTCATTGCAATCGACGACGTTATATGTTATTTATTTATTTTTTGTTGTAACATGTCAAACGAAATTTTTCCAGTGTGTATCGACGGGACCGACTGGTACGGCGTCAAGTTCTTCCAGCTCTCGGCCCAGTGGCAGACGCACATCAAAAACTTCCCCGTGGCGACTCTGGGCTACACCTCGGCGTCCCAGCAGCAGTCGCCCAGCGGGCTCGCGTGAACGACGAGTTTGCGTGGCTCGAAGATTTTATGACGTTACGTTCTTTCATCAGCATCATTGAGACATATCCACGCCGAGACATAGAGGACGAGATGAAGAAGAGAAAGAAAATGAAAATGGGAGGGAGAGTAGAATAAAGAGTTGGGCAATAATTCAAATCAATAAGTTATCAAATTAATAGAAATTAATTACGAAGTAGAGAAGTTGAGACGCATTCCTTGAACAATAAAGAAAAGATCGCTATGTTTTTTGTAGTGTAGTTTTCATTCTTTTTTAGCTAAAAATTACGTGACGGTTGAAAAACGTTCAATTTTTTTATTAATGTACAAAGTATACGGATGATTCGATATTATTAACAATTTATATTTAAAATAAGCCGAGAAAAACCGAAGGACGAAATTGTGATTTAAGCAGACGAACAAAACAATTTTTAAAAATAAATTCGCAGAATGAGTTTATATATCAAAATTCGTCTGCAAGTAGTGAGCTCTATTTGCATATCGAAAAGAGAAAAGACAAAAAAGGTCATAAAATATCGTTTGTAAAGTATGTGTACAGTCATTATTGTTAAGTTGCGTTCCTATGTGTAAAAAAAAAAAAATTACGCGAGCGTGCTGGAATAAGTTTTAATTGACGGAGGATCTTGAAGTGTATATTTCCGATCATGTGAATATTACATAGATATATTTACATTTTCAAAGATTTATTGTCATTAATTATGTGCAATATTGATATAATATTGTGAGCTCGTAATGAAAGAAAAGGTAGATTTTAAACACTGTAGTATCCATACGATTGCCGAGCGTCAAAGGCAAAAATTGTTTTTTATTCTTCGAAGAAGTCTTTATTTTTATTGCTATGATAAAGAACGATACTTGTTACATATTCTTACGCTTGAGTGATGTATTCGACGAGTCTCAATTTGTGAGCCATATTCGACGGTTATGCACGAGCTCAACCCGGGCTTAGAATGTATTCTTTCATTTGTAATGCTTACCGACAGCCCGTGATAAGTTTAAATTGTTATGAGTCGAACAATAATAAATTTTCCATTAGTCATTAAGATTCGTAATAAATGAGCCTATGTAATAGCTATATTTTGACGAAACTGTGAGACTTCAGTTGTTAAGTTTTAGTTAACGTACTCCCAATTCGATCAGATTGTAAAAAAAATCATCCTATAACCACTTGACTAATTAAAACGCTGAAAGAGGTGATGATTTATCCTGCGATACTCAAACTTTTTAATTACAAAAAATATTACAGTGACTGAAGTCATTAATGACTGCCTAATGCCAAATTGACACTATTTGTGTCATCGTATTGTAATATACAGTTTTTCAAACGAAAGAAAACGTTAGTGAAACTCAGAAGGCGTTGTGAAATCAAAGCAACGATTCTTGCCAAAAATGTAATTGTTTGTATACTAGGCTGAATTTTTTACTTTTGACAGACTTCGTTTGATGTTTCCCTGCGTTTGCACAAAAAGATTTGAAGTATCCCCGCTGTAACTAAAAGCTAAAAAATTGCGAATGATAGTATACTAATTTTAACATGCACACAAATATGAAAAGTAGATATTGCTTTTGTACTTTATTCGATGAAGACTCAATAATCTCATATAGCGTTGAACTGGGCTTCTATATAGAGTAACTTTTGTTAACCATCACAACTATAATAGAAATATATTGTCTGCCATATGTTATACAAAATACTCTGAGAAAGCGTTAAGAATTTATATTGATTTGACTTCTAACAAATATTATTATATTGTCAAGCTTAATTATCAGCTAAAATTATCAAAAGCTCACAACAATTACAAAATATAAATATCAAAAAGTAATAACATTGCAAACATCAAACACATTTTAATGAATTATGTGATTTCCTAACAACGAGACTAAACTACTAAGTTTTTATAGAAGGAAAATTCAAAAAATTTTATATGAATTAAATCTTTGACAATGACATTTGGAATGATATTTAAAATGACGCAAATAAAAATGAAAAATAATTCATAATTTTTAAATCAATAATTTTAATAAAATGACGTAAAAATTACAAACTTCATATAAGAAAAATGGATAGAATTTGGACCAGTAATGAATTGGTTCATTACTAATATGCAAAAAAGCATTGTCCAAATCTATTTGTTGCATTCTAGTCACAACTAAATAATGAAATTTTTCGTTTTTAAAATCCAATATTGTATGAAGTATACGTAGATTATAATCGCAGGTGGATCAAAGTTTTAGGAATGTTTCATGTTCGAATTATTATTTTATCCACAAAAAATTGAGTGTCAAAGTGTACTGATGTTTTTTGACGTGTTTATGATTGTTCGTGATTAAATGAAATTAATAATTAAACATGCGAACATTAACGCATAGAAATATCATGTTTCAATTACCAGAAAATATTGTGAAGTAGATAGGTGATAACACAATGTTGTATGCTCATAGAACTTAATAAGACATTGATTTAGCAAAATGTCTTGAAATCTTGTTGTTTATTATATTGTGTACATAAACGCACATATATATGGTTATAAATATATATGTCTGAACAATAATGTACGATATGTCTAGTGGCGATCGAGAGTTCATTTGAAGCATTACGATATTCTTGCTACATGTCAATAACTTGGAGGAAAAAATCGATGGTACATTTATAAACTTGATATCAATTTCATCAATTGAACTCTCACAACATTAAATGTGTTAATGAAATCATTTTATGTGATATATACTTTCTAACATAACATTTTATTGAAAAAAAAAAATTATCTTTAGTATTATTACTAAGTAAATTTTGTGACAGATGACTGGCCTAAATAAGATATGGCTGAGTAATCTTTTATTTATTAAATGTCAAAAATGTTTAGATCCGTACAATTAAATAACATCATTTGATAGTTATGTATTGCTGCAGATACCAAAAACATGATTGTAGAACCACTTGTTAAGATAACTCAAAAATAAGATGCAGTTGGGTGATCAGCAACTCTGACGAAAACATTTTACAATGATAAATAAAAACGGAGCGATATTAAAACTAAAAAAGATTCGAATTGTCTTTTGTTGTTGATGTTTGTAAGCTTGAAAAATAAATGTAATGCCTTTTACAGTATTTTTTGCAATCACTTAATTTAATAAAAATTTCAAATTTCAATCAAACGTGTTTTTGAAAAGGTCAATCCGAATTATAAATTACTTTTCCTTGTCAATTTAGAAAAAAAATAATCTGCGTTCGCAACGCTTTTAAGTGTAGTGTTTACGAATTACTCTTTTGAATCCTATTAAGCACGGCCTCGAATAGAATTTCCGGCGAACGTTTCTCGGGAATAACTTTTTGAAGTACCAATGTTAACTCTTTGGGGTTTAAAGCGTGTTCAGTTTTAAATTGTCTTCGTTGAATGCGATTTTTTTTATTTTCATTGTACGGATGGTCGAAGTAGAATCTTGCTAAATCAAGTCCTATCCTTCATAATCCACAGTAGCATCATTTTGCTATGAGACATAGATATATTTTATTTATAAATGATTTTACCACCGGCCCGTAAGCAACTATTTTCCTTCGCCTGCGTAGAGAAGGAAATGCTATTATGGGACCACTGAATATGAAATATCGTATGTAGTCTAAATCGCCAAAAAAGAAATCCCTTATGCACTCCTTTTGCGGCCTCGGCTTCGCCTCGGCCTGGGGTTATGTAATATTTAATTTTTTATTCTGACTGATCAGGTTAACGAATTATTTATTAACAATCTTTTTAATCTGCTCTTTTCCGATTATACATTTCGATTTTAATTCGATATCGATTTACATACTTCAATTCATAGAGACATTCAGCGCGCTTCGCGCGACTCATTCGATATTCGATATTCGATATTCGACAATCTCCATTATTCGATAATCGCATCCTCAAATTTATCATTAGAAAAAAAATATCTTTAGTATTATTACTAAGTAAATCTTGTGACAGATGGCTGGCCTAAATAAGATATAGCTGAGTAATCTTTTATTTAATAAATGTCAAAAATGTTTAGGTCCGTACAATTAAATAACATCATTTGATAGTTATGCATTACTGCAGATACCAAAAAAATGATTGTAGAACTCAAAAATAAGATGCAGTTGGGTGATTAGCAACTCTGACAAATACATTTAATAATGGATTTATAAAAACGGAGCGATATAAAAAATTCGAATAGTCTTTTGTTGTTGATGTTTGTAAGCTTGAAAAATAAATGTAATGCCTTTTACAGTATTCTTTGCAATCACTTAATTTAATAAAAATTTCAAATATTCTTTCATACACTTGCAGTAATTCACAAACTGCGGATAACGTGTAAATAAAGTTTCCTATCTTAATTATTATTTGTATCTAGTCAAAAATCATTTAAAAACTTTATACATTAAAAGTCAATGTAGTAAAACGATATAATAAATCTTACAAAAATTAAAAAAATACAATTGTGTCCTATATTAATAAACATTTGATCATAGTCAATGGTATCACAGTATCTTAATATTTACTGATATAAATATTTTACTTTTTTTTTTTGGTTTATAGATAATTAAAGCTCTGAATAACAAATTACATTTCTCCTCAATGTATCAGTCTATGAGTTGGCTCATTGGAATATAAGACAATTAACCTATCTTTCAAGCCTTTGCTCCCACCTACTCCACCTTCTGGTAGTACATAACCACCCTCACGTCTGACAGGACTTGCTTCTTCCAAATTCATATTACTATCAAGTAAATCTTCCCACAGCCAACATGCCACACGACGTGATTTTCCGTGACGGGCTAAGACGTAATTTTTACATCTGAAAATCAGAATGTATCATTAGTGATGAACAATAAATAATAATAATATCATTGAATAGTTATGTCAAAAATTATTACTTAGTTGCAATCATTCCAATCAGTAAAGCCCAATGAGCTTTATGACCTTTCTTTTTACATGGTTGATGATTATGATCTGCATCGTAGGCAATAAGAATCAATGAACCACCTTTTAATTCATCAAGTATTTGATTTGAACGAGATTTTATATCATCTAGTAGCCTTATTTTTACTGCATTTTGAGTTGACAAAATTAAGTCATACATATAATCTACGCTATACATTTCACCATGATTTGTAAAGCCTTTTAATTTTGCAACATTTAGAAGTTCAATTGGTTTCATTCTATTTTTATTCTTTTGGGTCCCCATGTATAATGCAACTAAGCCACATCTATAAAAACCAGAAATTGGTGTTATTTGCTGGATATCCAATTGCTTTCAAATGATAGATTTCTTTGCAACTTACGTGGGACCTTTTTGCAGTATCGGTACTATATCAGTACTCACATAAAGTGTTTCTACATCGTGGAGATGTGTAAAAATGAGTTCAAGTTGTTTTTCCAATTCTCTGACTATTTCATTGCTTTCTTCATTATGAAATATATGATCCTTCTGGGTCATCACAATTTCTGAATTTAAAATTTGAAATTGCCATGGGCTCTCCATTGATGAAAGATCAGATGCCATTTTATTCAAATGTGAATTTGGAAGTCTCTGAAATTCAGATATTAAAATTGATTTATAAATGCTAAACTTTATGGCAACTATGGTTAATTCAATGAATGTTTAATATAAATGTGTACTTTTGAGAAATATAGCCCTATAAGAAATATCAATGAATCTAACGTTAAACCCGCGCATTTAATCAATAATACACTTGCAAACACCTCATTATCTGTCATTACAAGATAAAATTAATCATCACAAGAACAAACGATGATACCTTATAAGGCGAAGAGGATACGTTACTATCGTTTGACAAATGGGTCTTGAACGTTGCGCCTTTCACCTCGCTATAAAATAAACACGCAGCAGAACGCACAGAGTTGCAGCAGCAGCAGTACGGAGCGCGCACTCACACAAACGGATCTAACACGAGCAGCAGAGCAGCAGCTCACAAGAATTGAAGAAGCTTGTAAGACCACATAACTATTCTCTCCATCAGCGTGTTTTTCTACGAATGTTTGCGGCCTTTCAAAAATAGAACCCTAAGGACGGAGAGAAGCGCGAGTTATAAAGCGTCGTACAGCAGCAAGCCTTAGATCTCGAAATACGCGTGTTCACGCAGAAAACGGGTTGTGTGTATAAAGAAAGAAACGAGCAGATCGATTTGTTGCGGACCGTGTGCGGACTGCTGCACTTATTATATATGCCGTGTGCGGTAGCGAACTGCAAGTGTATATAAGTATGTGCTATATGCCCGAGAATGACGTCTGTGCGTATTTTCAAATAAAGTCTCGAGGCATAAGCGATCGCTGCGCGAAGTAATCGCTTACCGACTCTTTCATTGTACACGATACACATTTATATCGAAGGCGTATCTACATAAGATGTATACATTTATTACTCACTCGAGTTAAGTAATTATAGCCAGCTACAGCAGCAGCAGCAGCAATGAGGAAGAAATTCTTGATTTCGTCTTTCGTGACATCTTGGACGCGCTTGAATGATTATCTCGGCGCGTATATATAACGTCAACAACGCTGGCCACGGCGCAGCAGCGATTACTTAATACAACCGCACATTATCGCGAGGGTGGGCTCGCAAAGCTCCTCTCCTCCTATGTAATGCGCTCTCAAAGGCAAAGTAAAGAGCGGAGAAATTCTTTTGCTTGGCTTTATTATATATATATCGCACGGCACAGCACAGAGACGGGTATAAAAATAAAAGCCGCGCACACACGCGCGCGTGCGAAAAGCCCCGAAAAAGCTGAGCGCCGCTGCCGCGAGTGCTGTGATGATGATGATGCTGTGCAACGACGCGGAGAGAGAAGACACGCGCAAGGCCGTCTGCTGCTGCTGCTGCTGTTGGCCGAAAGACTTAGACTTTGAGCGCGTCATTGCGATCTGTCATTCAGCAGCACAGCACAGCAGCACCCTGCAGAGAGAGAACTCATATATCCAATTCTCATATGTCAATGCCTGTGTCGAAAAGCTGCTGCTGCTGTTGTTGATGTAAACTTAATGAAAGTGACTACTACAGGAAATTGTTTTCGTGACGATGACACGAAAGCTTTCTGTGTACACGTTATTAGTTATGCACAATTATTTTTCAATTAATATTATTATTTTTTACCGATATTGGTACGTATGTACTTGGACGGAATGCTAAATTTAAATTTACTCCGATTACGAATTTATGGAGTGCGCGGAAATCGACTCGTGCAACTCGTTCGATCGTTCAAGAACAAATAAAACATTATTCGTTTTTTCAATTCTACGATAATTTTCACATATAAAATGACGAAGACCATTTTTTCGAAAAATGACAAAAAAAATCTCGGTAGCAAAACAATGTCCTCGTGTGTTATGTCACTTTTAAAATGACAGCTAATCATTATACACAATATAATACGTGTCTCGCAATAATTGCATAAAATAACACTCTGCGTTTACCTTACGCGCTGCACACGGTCAAAGCAGTTACCTTACTTATCTTTGACGGATACAGCACGGATTGATCGGTTAATATATAAATGAACACGATCGCCGAGAGCGATCGACCTATTGAGAGCTACGTTTCGTAAACCGAAGCAGGTGCCGCGATCTCTCGACCGAGACTTCAAATCGCCCGCCCGCTTGAGCGCCATTATCCGCATACTCCAAAATTCCTGCAAACATTATCGAGTACACGAGCTCGTGTATATAATGATTGCGCACGAAGACTCGAATGTCCGCCGCCACCGCCGCCGCTGCTGCTGTATCAGCTGAACTCAGCAGCCTCGATGATATTATATATCGTGGCATGTACACACAATAACACAACAACTCCATTACTGCTGCTACTGCCGGGACGAGCGTGCTCCAAACGTCGCTATGACGGTTCCGTATCAAAACAAAGCGCGACGTACTTGGAAAATCATGCGGCTGCATTTCGGAGTCGCCGCGCGCAAGACATCGTGTGTATATAGGCGACCGGAACAGCAACACATCGCGCAAAATCGCGCAGGCTTCGCAGAAATAAATTCATCTCTCCTCGTTTCTTTTCATTTCGACATTAGCGATCCGATATCGCGTTGTATATATATGTGCTAATCGGATGAAAAAATATATACATATCTGACATCCAGTATTTGTACATATTACACGTTACGCGCGCGCGTGTGTGTGTATATACCGCGAAAACGTATCTATAGGTATATCAAGCATAGGCAACAGCGAGAGGAAAGATTTCTAGAGGAAATAACGGTGTATAGCAGGCACATAACGCCTGTAGTATTCTCGAGTATTCAGCATTAACATTTAAACGAACGAGGGAGAGAGAGAGAAAGAAAGAAAGATACTCTCGGAGGTAACAGCCGTGAGGTTTGCAGCTTTTAACAGTAGCTATCTTCGAGACGAGATGCGTGCCGCGCGATGGTAAAAATACTACGACCACTCGTTCGTATTTATAAGAAACAGTATGTGTAGAGGTATATAACCGAAAAGAAGAGGCGCCGACGACCGAAAAGAGAGTCGCTACGCGAGGAGAAGAATAGACGAAAAATATTTGCGGAGTTCGACTTACTTTTTGACCGAGATGTAAAAATAAACTGCAACAATTCATTCATCGAACTCGAATGTGTTTTTTTTTCTTCTGTTCTGTTTCTTTTGCGAGCGCGGGGGAAATATTTGACTATATCGAAACGCGAACATCGAAAATCGAACCTCGGCGAATATTGGCGATTGAAACGCAATATTATTGTATAGCTCGTTTGCGCGCGTTCCCGCCGCAGCACATGACGCCGCGTCGTGCACAGATCATACAGAGACATCGAGTCCAACGATCTCTCTTAAAATCGTTATAAGCCCCGAGAGCCACGCACGGATAAATTATTTTTGCATCTCGCTCGAGAGCTTGAGACTTTGTGTATGTGTACGTATATACATTACCAGAGTAGCACCAGCTATATAATAGCACACAAGTCGGTATATACACACATAATAGTCGTCGTCGTCTTGTACTACTATTATATTGCCTTAACGCTATATATAAAAGCGCGTTTAGATGAGGCAAAGCAGAGCAGAAAGTCTTCTCTCGGACTTAGTCTCTGATCGTAAGCCGTCGCAGCAGCTTCTCGCTTGTGTATAAGTAGTGTATATACCGTGCATGCCGGGACGGTCTCCGAGTCCGTCGTCGTCGTCGTATACACTATATATACAACGTCCAATAATTTCGCGAGTTTCTCGATACTCTTTCGCTCGCACTCTCAAACTCTCTCTCTTTCTTTCTCGGCGTGAGTGAGTTGACTCGTGTGTATATAACAACACATACGTGACCAGTGCCCGCGCGTCTCAAGGTGTACGTGTGTGTCTGTGTTGTGACTTGTGTGTTCGTATAAGTGTCTTATACGCGTGTCGTCGTCCCTGTGCCTGCTGCCGCTGCTGCTGCTGCTGCTGCTGCTCAGCTCGTGGAGAGCAACATAGTAGAGTAGTAATAAGCTGTTACACACCGATATATAAATATTATATGTATATTTACACGTAGTGCCGTGTATCGTATAGTCGTCGTCGACTTCGTCAACGTCGTCGTACTTTTTTTTCCACAAGTGCTTTTGGATCTGTGTTATTTTGTTTCTGTTCGTTCGTTGGCGAGAACAAGTGTTGAAAAATTTGTTCGATTGCACGCAGATATCTCTGCACATCGCTTGGGTACAAGTATTCGGTGTTAAAGTGCCGAAGTCCACCTGAATGCGTGCGCGAGGCGAGAATCTTTCGCTTCGAAAATCGTGAGCGAGAGAGACCGACCGACAGTACTGCCAGAGAGAGGTTAGATCATAACTGGTTTGGTATATATCGTATTTTTATATATACCCAACCCAACCTAGGATTGTAAAGTGTGCACAATACATATTATATGTATTTTGACTTTAAACTTGGGCTGTGAAAACGGATAATAAACAGATAATTTAAGCATACACGTTTTAATATAAAAGCGTATACGAGGACGAGGAGTTCGAAAAATTCGCCAAGGGGCCTTATAACCTATATCATTGTTCGCCGATATGGTATGTTGTGCATTGTTATTTTCAATCATACTAGTCAAAATTCGATCAATTAGCAATGCTCGAATTCACGAGTTTACGAGATTATTTATGATTTATGGATTTACCTGTTCATTGATTCAATTCCACGAAGCGAAATAATATTCATTCGTTTTTGACTTGCATGATGAAACTCTAACTGGTAACTTGTATATGTCAGTAAGGTGATTGATCTGAACAAGTTTATAAATATTCACAGATATGTTGTTGTATGTATTTTGCTTATCAAAAATAATCTTTTTTCTAATGACAAGATTGACTGTGGCCATTCACTATTGACAACTATTGTTTCAAACAATATACATGAACATTCAAAGAATAAATTAATATCTCAGACTGTTAAATCACATTTATATTATTTCGTCTTTTTTTAGTAGATTCATTATACTTGTTCAATGATATTTTTTCTTTACTTGCTGTCAAATCTTTGCTTCACTTCATTATCTTATCTAATTAAGATATAAAATCAATTAATTACTTATGAAGCGTAACAACAGTTCTATAATACAATATAAGTTTGCATAGTAGTTTTACATCAATCATTACTAAATTGTTTTTTAATACCCTTACATTGCTTAAAGCCTCATTATTATTTTAATTTTTCAGGATGGAAATTCAAAAGATAAAAATAAAAAAAGCAAGAATGGTCGTGATACAGTTGATGAGGTAAGTCTCTCTAAGAGTTGTTTATACGTATCAGAGAATCATCTTTTCAATTTTTAAACTTATTTACAAAATTATTGAATCGCTCCTTTACATAGTATTATTTTCAAATCAAATATTCAATTGCATGCCAACAAAAGAAACTTTAGTAGTCAAAACTTGAGCAAGTACATGTGCACTAATGATATATACTCTCAAAGTTGTGCTCAAGCAAATTTTTTTCAACTGTACCTGTAGGAATATTGTACGCTTCTTGAGTTATAGAGCATAAATCTTGAAAGAAATAAAAAATGCTTAGAAGGATAATTCATCCTGATTCTGTCATTAAATCATAAAAACTTAATCTTTGCTACTCGGATGCGAATGAGCATTGAGGTGACAAATTATAATTATTCTAAGCTCCACACAAGTAAATTGTACTGTGTACAAGAAAGAGAAGAACGTAGACGTGCACAAAACAATAGTCACATTTTCCTTTTGCGCAAGGCCGTCGACTTGTCTTTTCTCGCTTCTTGACTCTTTCTCTCTCTCTCTCTCTCTCTCTCTCTCTCTCTCTCTCTCGCTCTCTCTCTCTCGCTCTCGCGTTGTGTCGCAAATCGATCGCCACGTTTTATATATCTATGCCTGTAGAGCCTGCAAGGCTTAACGCGCGTTACAGCGTAACCGACGAACGATAATAATTAAGCGTTTTTTCGCCGAAGTTGTCGAACAAAAAAAACAGCAGAAAAAAAAAACAACAAAAGGAAAAACAAACCCGAGAACGAGCAAGGAGACGCGTGAAAACAAAAAAAAAAAATTGTCGAGGCAGGATAAACGAGTTAAAAAAAAGTCGAAAGCCTAGAGCATCTCGCGGAGCCGGGCAAGGATAGATATGTGTGTAGTGTGCTGCTGCACGCGCTCGCACATACATAATGAAAAGACGGAACAAGTGGAAAGTCGTTGGAGAATTTCGCGGCAGATGGTGCGCGATCATCATCATTGCGCAAGGTGGATAGGCCGTCGAAAAGCCCATGGTTATTATGCTACATTTTATAAAAGCCGGTTGCTGCTCGCCGCTTACATTATGCGTGTCCGTGTATGTCTGCCCGGTCTCTGCTGTGCTGGTCGCTGCCCTGCCTCATGTGTCTGTGTTATAAAGCAGCGACACGTGCCGCGCATGCAGTTTCTACCAAGGGTATACATAATGTATTATATACGTAAGGAAACGTGTGTGTGTGCATCGTGTGTGCACTTGTGCTTTCTTCCACTGTCGACGGCAGGGATGATCGACCTCCTATTCGACCAAATTTTTTTTTTCTTCACGTACCTTGCCCTCGCGCGTGATGCGCGATAAAAAAACTCGAGGGCATAGTCATTTCCACGATGTGCAGGAGCAACGATAATTAATAAAATGCGCATATCTAATCCATACCAGCGATAATATCATTTGTAAACGATTAATCATCGTGGCTTCGTGTCATCTATTTTTTTTGTTTGTCTTTCTTATTATTAACGTTAGTCATGAAAATATGTAATAAAAATGAAAAATTCTGTGTAAAAATGAAAAATTCTATGTAATAAAAATGAATAAATCTGGACTCCGATAATCGGGTAATTTTTCTTGACGAACCTAGGCCGTGATTCATTGAGCTTTTATTCTTGGTTTGAAAAGCTGGTTTTTTTATTTTTTATTGTTACTCAATTCGTCGCGCGAGAAGTTCACGCGTGCCGAAAGCGAAACTTGCAACGGATAGAGCAATAATAGATGTTTTTTACTGCTCCGAAGTTATAAATAAACGCGGCACGTGAAAAAGTAACGACAATCGAGTTTATGTGCAAGTAGTTCATGTAATATAATACATGTGCGCTCGCGACCGGTGGTGTCAATGTCCTTTAGAGATGCCGAAAATATCACGGGTCAGTTAGATTACAAGCTCGCAGAGGGTAGTTGTGAACTTTTCATGATGATTTTATTGAACGATTTAAATTGGTTCGTTTACTTATTTGTTTGTAAACATTTTGATAAAAATAGTTCGACAAAGCTATTTTCCGAAATTTGACACATACTTTACGACTGTTTCGAAGAGTGTGTTGTTCAATCAATACATCTCCATTGTAAAATAGATAATTTTTATTTTGTAATAATAACAACTTTTTTTTTATTTCGAAATTATAAATAACGACTTCTTACACTATAATAACTTTGTTGAATTTCTCATGAATTTTAATCGTCACCACGTCTCGTCCCACAACTAAAATAAACTCTAAAATTTAATTACAGAGTTGCGCAATGAATCAAGCGAATATAACCGCGCTTTGAAAGTCAATTAAAAATTTCCGTGTGTATAGCCAGAACTTTGAAATTCTCACACGTGTTTTGCCACACGTACTTATAACGCGCGAACTTTTATGTTATGTACTTCATTTTTTCCTCGCTTTACTCGAAAAATTAACGAGTTTTCATACGTACTATATTTTCTTTCTCTCGCTCCCGCGTGCGCACACGGCGGAATGACACATTGGCGAATCTATATATTAGTCGTTTGTTAATTGCATCTCACTCCCTCGGTGCATTGCATAAGTTATTTTTATCTTGATCTCCGACGAGATTTCAAAACACGACTACAATGCTTAATTGATGATCAATTAATGGCAACAGGATATCGCTCGCGAAATTTTGTTGCTACCGCCGTATAACTTACCGATTATACTCCGGTGAAAATAAATTCCAAGACTCGCGACTTTTCACCCAAATTTTAATTAACGATTACCCGAGCATGGCTAGTCAAAAACAGAGCGGCCATTTTGACGAAAAAGTATCGCAGACTGATTGAAAAAATGTCAAACGTCGTGCGCACGATTGGAGCACAGAAATTCAATTAAAAGTATTAGCGAGAGTCGTTTGCGTACTGAAATGAGATTTTAATCATTGTGCGTGCGAATACGTACGTATGTGCAATATAAATGAGACGCTAATGGAAACAACCCGTGCGCAGGTTTTGCGCATGTGGGTGTGTATGTATTCGCGCAATAAAACATATATACAATCACCAGAACTGATAAGGTAAATAATAAAAAAATCCATCGTTATTATTAGATCGATCCATTGACATATTATTGTGCTGCTATTATACGATAGCGAACGGCTAAAGTGTCACTTGTCAAACGTGCCTCTGCAGCAATTGACGCACTCGATGTATGATTTGTATATTACATGTATAGCAATCCAAAAAAGGAGTCGATTAGATGCGAATTGACTCTCGAGTTGCGTTGACACACGCGCTGCAACATATACGACGATTAATTCGTGTTAATATGGGAGTACGTACACACGAGGCTGAGATACATTTTATATAAAAATGTATGTGCGAGCTCTCGATTGTGTAAGTGTGTGTATGTCCGACGCGATGTGTGTGTCTCGGCAAAAGGAGAAGCAACCGGTGGGGCACAAAGACACGAACACACAAACAGATAGATATTAAATCGCGAGACAGTCAAGACGCACTATACTATATACGCACTGCAGGCAATGAGCGCACTCGGCGCGTTTTGTTCTTCACTCGCTTCAATATTATGTGATGCGTGAACGGATACATACACGCGCGTTGTCCGTAAACACTGTGTGCCTCGGCAACAGCAGCAGCAGCGGCGGCGGCGGCGGCTGCGGTGGCGGCAGCGACGTCGACGACCACGACAACGGAGACGAGTATCGGCAGTAGTGCTTCTTCGCGCGACTGTTAATCGAACCGATCCGCTTTTACTCCGTGTGGAAAGTTCGTCGTCTGTGTTGCTGTTGTTTATAACTCGTGCCTGGGTTGGTGTGTATGTGTGTGTGTTGTGGTGTTGTTGTTGTGTCGTGCGCGCTAGCCGTCAGATTAGAGAAGACGATATGGTGAATTAAATATTTTGGTTTTCTCGTTATCGAAACCCTCGGTGTCGATGTTATCCAGCAGATATCGATATATTTATATATCGGCATATGGGTTACGTTTCTCTAAGGAGACATTCGAAGATTTTCGGCATTTAATTATTATTTTTATTTAATAACAAAATAATAATAATAATATCGCGTATTGCACGCGGTGAACATGCGCCAGCGCGATTGTATCGGAGGAGAAAAAAAAGCTCCGATAAATATGAAAACAAATCGACGATCAAACTACCAGATTCGCGGCGATGACAAATTAAGCACAACCGATCGGTGTCGCCGCGCCAAGAGAAAAAATCAACGAGATTTTTCCAATCGAATGAAAAAGAGTAGAAAAAGAGCAGTGATGGGCATCGATTGTATATTTACGCGTAATACGACGTGCGACGATCTCTCTCGTTGATAATTAAAAAGTCGATTAATCCTGCCCCGTACATGTATAATGCGTACGTATGTGCCGTGTATTAAGCAATGCTAATATGCATACCGACCGCTCGCGCGCGCCGCAAAACATTCATAATAACAAATGTGTCAAACGATCGTTAGCGCTTCGCTAATTTTTTTCTTTCTCTCTCTGTCTCTGTCTTTGCCCGAGCAAATATTTAGATTGCAGTGGGTTGTGTTTAAGAGCCTCGTATCGTTACGAAAATTTCTTCGATCGCGCTCGGATCGTTGAAAAGCTGCGTCTTTTGCTATAATTCGCGACACGCACGTGCACAAATACAGATGTGCACACACATGCACAGACGCACATGCATACACACAAACACACACGAACACGAGCATTTGCTGCTATCGATGCGCGAAGCTCCATTGCGTTCTAACATCGAGGTAAAAAAAAAAGAAGAAAAAAAATCAATAATCACGAATTCCAGGCCGCGCGTCTCCGCCGCCGATGTGAGTTGCGTTATATATATATTGCAAGAGCTGCTCGCAACTTACGTTTTTATTTTATTTTTCTCCTTAATCATACGTACAATTGCTGCTATTTTTATTTCTGGGTATCTTAAATTCGACCGAGATACGTGTGTATGTATGTGTGTGTGTGTGTGTGTGTGTGTGTGTGTGTGTGTGTGTGTGTGTGTATCTAAACGAATCAGTACATCAATTGGCGCCAATTATTACGCGACTGACAACACCTCGTTGATGCTATATAGAAGGGACGACACGATGCGTTAAATAAACGACCTTCGTCCACATAACACGCGGAAATTAATACACATACACGATACAAAAGCGCATCGGATCTATTGTATATTAACGTCTTTATTATTTTGCGCTTTATGCATAAAATTCTGTCCCGCTCATATATAGCATAATACTTGCAGCGAATGCGTTGGTGTAGGGTTTCGAGTCTCTCTCTCTCTCTCTCTCTCTCTCGGTCGAGGTGAAGGTGCTTCAAGGCTTGGGAATCATTCCAATGCTCTCGAACATCGACGAGCTCGTTGTTTATTAATTCGTAAAACTCGAGTGCAGCAGCAGCTTTTTTCCGAATATCATTAAAGCTCGTGTATACGTGTGTTTGCATGTCTGTGTGGCTCTTTAATTGATGATTTTTCAATGTGAATATATTTTTTCGACGGCAAGGATGAAGCAGCCTTGCCTCTCCTAGTTAGACTTGGAAAAATTTACATCGAATCATAATAAAGTATCAGTGTGTGTGTCTCGATCGTCGATTACATTGCATGTAGATAGGTATTCTACATATCCATCGCGGCTATTTTTATCCACATAGTTGTGTCGGTTTGTTATTATAGCTGGAAATTATTATTACCGGTAACATTAGATAAATTCGTGCTTCAATGTTTTTTTCATGCGAATTATTATACCAGCAGCATATCGTGTATAGGCTTTTCTTCCTATTATCGTGCTACGATTATTTTATTTCATATTTTACATTCGACGTGCATACGAGGTACTTCGTGTCACGTGGATTTGTAAATCCTCTACCAAATACGCAAATTGATTCAGTGTATCAATAAACATCTGAAGGAGCTTTTGTAGGTCAATACGTGTTGGAAATTTGCAATTTTTTTATATTACATACAAATAAAATAAAAATGAAAACAATAATGATGCAGAGACTCGTTAATATGGGTAACAACTGAATATTCAAGCAATTTGTGTACATTCGACAAATCGTGTTGAACAGTAGAAAAAAATTTGACGTTTATGCGTCTCGAAGCTATCAATAATTAGATATATTAAACGATGCAAAATTAATTCGTACGCGAGAAACAGCTGATCAAGAGTCGCAAAACAGAAGTACGAGTTGAAATTTTTTTGTGAGATATATTCCCACGATTATGAACAATTTTGTGCACTGATAGTTGCGCGATATTTCCGTCGTAGAAACAATTTATTGCGCGTGTAAGCTAATTTTTTCATTTGGGACATACGCCTTGAATGGGTAATTAAAAGATGAAATCGAAGTGTTTACATTTGTTGACATTTTTTCACGCAGATCATTCGATGTAACTTTTTTAATCTTACCTATCAATAACAAGTTCGATCATTTGTTTCACGCGGCTCAGTAATGAATAATATTTTGTTGAGTCAATTTAATAAAAATAACGTACCAAATAAAAGCTGCAAGCTGCGTCAAAAATAACCTGTGCATAATATCATTATCAAAGCTTAGTTATTAAATCGGCTATTTCTAAAGCCTAGTGTTAATAGAGACAAAAAAACAGAATTTAATTTTCGTTGAAAGCTAGTCGGAAAATAATAATATCTCTTGCAGTTATCTATCGGTAGAAATCTAATGCTATTCCGTAGCCAAATCGTGTCATGAGGCACGTATATTATGTAGCAAATTTGCTCGCGCGCATGTGGGCGAGCTCTCATAATCTACCCCTCTCTCTTTTTCGCTCTTTTTATTATTAATGCGTATTTATGTGTGCGTGTGTGGTAAACGTCGTCGTCGTCGTCGACCTTGAGCAAGTTTTTCGACGAAGATATGTATGTGTGCTGTGCTCGAGAGTATTAGGACTTGTTGCGCATCTTCTTGAGAAAGAGATTGATCATATATAAGTGCGTCGTCGTTGGCCCACTATTTGAATTCGTGCGATGTATACATACGCTTGCAAGCTTACTACTGCACAGGATGTCGACAAGCACTACAGTCTCTTTTTTTAACAGATATTATTTATTGACATCTGAATGATTTTCAGTTCGTTTAACCGATACAAAAATGCTCACCTTTTTTTTATCAAATAACGTAAAGGATACAAATATGATTTTTTGAAAACTTTACGAACGAGAGAGATGAAAAATTGTTAAAAATGCTACCGCCCCTGCATGAAATTTTTTTTATAAAACTTTGTAAAAGAAAACCATACAACGCAATAGAGTATTTTTAAAACTTACAAGGCTAAAAAATTTGAATTCTTTCCGAATTCTCATATTGTTTTCGCGTTCAAAGCGAAGCGCATATCGTATATGTTGAAGAACATTTTCGAAGTGAATAAAATATTTGCATAGACGCCCACGCTCGGCATATTCCGCGTCCAGTACCGTCAATCAGATGCTCCTTTGATAAGCACGTGGGTCGAAACGAAATGCTCTGAATTCGCTGAATGACATCAATCGGAACTATTGAAATATTTTTTACTATTTTTGATAAAATCTCTAGAGAACGTGCCAAATATATCGCTATCTGTTGGTCTGTCGTACACCTAAAAGCTCCACAAGTTGAAAGTGCAATCATTATTAAAATACACGAAAGCGTATAAACGCGTGCGATTCGCTCGTTTTGTGCGCAGAACAAGGGTATCATGGCTCAATGGCATTAGCCTCGAAGTCAACGGCAGCCAACAGCAGCAGCGTCGCCGAAAACTGGGCCGGTGATGCGGCAACAGCATTAGCAACGGCGGCGCCTCGACTACGATGCCACGAGAGCAGCGCAGAAAATTTGGCATAACTCCGAGGCGCTCCAACTACGTGTGAGAGACGGCGCGAAAAAAGAAATTCGAGAAAATCCAGTCGGTGCCATTGAACAATAATCGACGAGAAGACTACGGCCGCTATAATGCAGACCTTCAATAATCTCGCTCTCGGCAACGTGTTTAAAAAAAAGGCATGTCTCTGAAATACGCGTGATTGCGGCTCCGCTAATACAATAATAAGCGCGCACTGCATCGCGGGCAAATCTTGTCTCTCATTTTTATCTCATTATGTAACTGCGGTGCCGGTCTGTGTGTGTGTGCGGTTTTTTTTGTACTCTCCGAACGAGCTTGTTTTATGGCCGGTAGTATGAAAAAAACAACGATGTTGTCTTTTTCTCTGTGACATTAGCATTGACTGTATCGTAAAATAGTCAAGTTTGTAATTTATTTTGCAACATAATTATCGATGGTTTGCTCTTTACCCGCGGCTAATTGGCTGTCCACGCTCGCGCACAGTCCGGGTTCGGTCTTTAAAGTTTTTGTTTCTACGTAATACGCGCGCGTGCATTTATCAAATACCGGAGTTTAATTATGAATTTTTAATAACAAAGTCAATTCTTTGAGAAAAAAAAGAGAAAAGAAAATCAAAAGGAAAAACAGCAAATGCGCAACAGAAATACCCACATAACATTATCGATCCAATTCCACAAAGGTTTTTTGCGCGCATATATAGCTGATGTGGCATACATAGTTTTACAGTAGCGTTGCACTGGCTTTTATATATAATAATAGTACGCGAATCGCAAATGCCGTGTGTGCAATAAAGAAAGAAGCAGAAAGAAAAACCTGGCACTTGACGATTTTTCTACGAAGTTACGTTCAAGTTGAACGAGCAGAAAACTTTTTGCGCATACGCGCAATATATAATGCTGTTTGTGTGCGGTATCGACCGTCATAGATTTATGTTTTATTGCTTTATTGTTGCCTGGCGCGGAATCGTGCGCTGACCCCCGCGTCCACGATTTGTTCGGGCTCGATGATTCGCGATTCTCATGTAGAAAAATTGACAGATGATTCAATAATTTTGTAACGTGTGCATTGTAAACATTTTTCTTGCGACGAGCAGCTAAGCTTATGCATTTCTTTTATCTTTGTTTTATAGGCTAAAGCGGCAAGTGGCTCCCCAAATTCCACACCACCGCCGCCGACGCTTATAAACAAAATCAAATATCAGCCTGGCGTGCCAGTAGTCAAAAAAGACAAACGACAGAGCAGCTCGAGATTCAACGTGTCGACGCATCGTGAGCTACAAAAACTGCCAATTCTCAACAGTGGTGAGTATCTATTATATTCTATTTTTTTTTTCTTGCACAACTTATATACACGCATCGACTATTGCATCGCATTCGTCGCTACTCGTTCATTCAAAAAAAAAAATTTGCGCCGCGTGAATCGCCACGAGACGCGACTCTTTGAGAGCTCGCGCGTCCAATAATAATTAATAATAACTACGCGCTGGCCGTTACTGTTTGCCGAGCAAAAACATCTGTACATATACGAGCTTTAAAAAAAATCTATATTTGCATTCGCTCGCACTCTCTGTACGTGCGTACACAAGCCAAGTGTAAAAATAATTCCTGGTTTTGCAATTGCGACTAAATTCAAAGTAATTTATAGAACGATTGAGCCCCACCGCTGTATGTACACGTTTCAACGAATCTTGCGTATAGTGGTGTTTTCTGCACGCGTTAATTGCGCGAAAAAAGAATACTTTTTTTTTAGCTCCAAGCCTGTATCGCGTACGCGTATACGAAGATATACATACCGAGTGGTAAAAATATTACTCGAACTCGTGGTATACGCGAGTGAATAAAAATATTATTTTAGCATGATGCTGAGATGCCGACTTTGGTAATTACATAGGAGAGACAAGCGTGCTCTACGCACAGACTTGAAAAATTGAAGATGCAACGGTCGAGTGGATTAAAAAAATATACCCGATGCACACGCTGCGTCTCTGAGAGTAGTAGTAATGATCGATCGAGAAACTTGATTTACTGGGTCGCAAAAATTGACTTCCTCGTTGTGAAGTTTATACATCTCAAAATAACGTGCAGTTATTATTGGAACTTGGACGTTGACGTCCAGTTTTTGTACTCATAGAGAGGCGTACTTTTGATTAATCGTCGATCAGTAAGACCAATTAGAAAAGTATCCGCGGGCGCGTGTGCACTTTTTAATTTTACTCGCCTTTCACTTACGCCTTATTTTACGTCACAAAGTGACAGAGAACGACGACGACATGTGTCACATTTTATCATTGACATTTATAAAAGTTTTTTCAAAGATTTTTCAACAAGCATGCTGTGCATGCTAAACTTCGCAAAATTTTAGTCTCAACTTCGAAGCCAATAGCCTTTAACGAATCGTAACTGCTATGTGGTCTCCGATTAGCCGCACTTAATTGAATTTCACGAATTATGACTATAATTCCAAAATAACAAGCCCGCGAAAGTTCCTGCCGTTTTTCGCGGTCGGTTTTAAAATTATTATCATCGAGTTCTTTAGAAAGCAAATTAGTCCTTTTCAAGAGTGTCTTATTTATTTCTGAAACGAAAAAAAAATGCCAACGACGAGCTTACACGTCTCTCAGCGTGGTATTTTCACATTTTAACTCGAGCGACCAACTAGTTTTGTAATATACTCGTTCTTATAGGCACGCGCAGGAAGAGTCGATTTATTTTTCAATGCGCGGCCGCGTACACGTCATCGAGACAGTTGGCGGGTATACATAACAAAAATTTGAAAAATTACAATTCCCCAAATGCCTTCGAATTTGTTTGTACTAATCAAGAACCAAACGAAAAAAATTTGCGTTCAATCTCGACCAATTAAAAAGTGCACTTGTGCGTGCGCTCCTCGCAGTCCATCTGTCGAGTGCGATTCAAAGCAACGAAGTTTGCCGATCGTAATATATATACTCATGCCCGCGGAGAGAAGTTGAAAAAGCTCGACTATAGAACAAAAGTCGGAGAGCATAAATTCTTTTCTTCTTTACCAGCGCGCGACTGTTTTAATACATAATAATAATAATAACAATAATAATAATGATAATAACAAGGTCTCGAGCGAAAAACTTTTAGCTTCGATTCGTCGTCGTAGTCGCGCTTCGCCGCATGCGTGTTTACGTATCGTATTTATAGGATTTCATTGAACAATTTCCACCGTAGGTACTACTGTGCACAGAACTCTCTGCGGCGCTGCGATACCATACATATTATGCTGCTGACTATATTCGTCAGCATTTGTGCCGCGAGGTGCAATATTGATTTACGAAGCTTCTTGCGCTTTGTTATTGCTAAGTTTTCTAGCAAAAAAGAAAATATCATAAAACATTCCGACGAAGTGCGTGACATTACGCATAACGATTTTATAAGTATTCGCATTGAAAAATCCCACTGTGCCGCGTAATAAATAGGTCCTCAGGTTCTTCGCGATGGCTAGGCAAAAATATGCACCCTTTCATGTATATAGAGCACATGCACGCGCAGATGCGATATTTTAATATAATCAACGTTGCATACTTTTCTCTCCTCTTTATCAAAGAATAAATATTTAATGCACGCGACGCGAGCTTGTACTCATACTCATACTTACGTATATCGATCATCGCGCGCGGCAGAAGCGACTTTTCTCCGTGTCATTTCCACTTTTGCGCTTAGTCGAGACATAATCTTCGATATACCACGTGTGTGTGTGTGTGTGTGTGTGTGCCTTGGTTGTGTATTTATGTGTGTATACTTGTGTATACATCATCTATAATATGCACTTCGAGGCGCGTGACTGTTAATTAGCACGCGCGCTTCACTTCCTTCATATATGTAGCGCGCGGAGCGCAGCAGCCCAGAGCTCGAGATATCGATTTATCGAAATCGCGCCCAATGCACTGGATAAAATATCCATAATCCATCGCCTCGGGACTCTGCGCGTATTATATATATAACTAATATCCCTATTTTTTTCTTCGCTCCCCTTCGCCTCTCTCTCCTTCGCGCCGCCCAAAGGGTGTACGAGGAAATTACTTGATTGCGCGAAAATGTCTATATGGTTGAGATTGCGGAATGTGAGCATTTTTATTTAGTCAATTAGTTTTTTTGTTCGAATTAAGACGGAAACTCGTTTGATAACGATAAATTGCGTATACATACGCGAAGGTTTTGAAAATATCCCTGCCGCGCTCGCGAGAGTCAACGTAACGTCGAGAAACTACGCAGTGGCATCGTCGGCGTCGTCGGTGTCGTCGTCGTCGTCGTCGTCGTACATATAATTTTATCTGTTTTGAAACGTTACGACTCGGCTATTCGCTCGCGTATATACACTCAATTTCAAAATTTCAATACTTTTGACTACTCCGGGGCACTGTCAATCCGGCAGCTTCGATCCTGCACAATCGCCTGCAGGATTCATACATCATGCAACTGCATAAATACACGTTGTACATATATATCTGTCTCTCTCGAAGCTTTCAGTGTGTGTCTGTTGTTATAAATTCAATAAACATGTCGTAATCACATCGCGAGCCGACCTGCTTTCGGTCTATTCGGTATATAACTGCTCGCGATACTTGAAACCTTTTTTCTTTTTTTTTGTTTCGCGCTCAAAGGTTTGGCTTCGCTCTATTTTCGGCGTATGCAAGGCGGCGGTGTCTGCTAATAAAATTGATCGATAATTTCAAATGAAATTAATCGAAGCAGTCCTCTGCAGTGCTGCACCTATGGATATATAGACGCGTTGCACATGCGACGTTGACAGGGAACGATGTATATATTTTTAAGAACACGAAGGCAGGTTATCGCTCGAATTTCTCCCTCTCATTTTCTTTTTTTAACTGGCACCTTGAGTGCAAAAATGATGATATATTTTCAGCCCTCTCTCGGCACAATTTAGCTCAAGAATTTCTGGTCTCGTGTGCACGCGAAGCAATTGACAGCTTGAGTCCTCCCCTCAGTTTGACGTATACGTGAAAAAGTACGTCTATTATAGCCCGGACTGCGGGTGGATGTAGTAGTAGTTACATACTGTGTGTGTATGTATTTGTAACACACTCTATATCCATATGGCACGCGCGTACCCTTGAAATTTTAAAACTCATTCATCGGTCATGACAATCGGCAATCAGCTCGCGCATTGATTTCGAATTTCGTGCGTCTCATGGGCGCGCAGTGTTCTGATTTTCTCTCCAATAATAATCTATTCGTAGCGAATTACGAATCGACACCTCGTTATAACGAGGCAACAAAAAAAAAGACCTAGGCCTGCTCGCTCGACTCCGACACGATTGTCTGCAAAATTAATATACGTTATTCATGCTTGTCTATGCATTGCGTATATAGGTGTGCGTTTAGAAAACGGCATCGAATCGCTACGAGTGTCACATAAATAATTTTTCATAAGCGTCGAGTATCTATGGGAAATTTTTCAAGCTGCAGCTTTCACTTCGTCGCTAGGCAGCTTTTACGTACGCACAAGACGCATCTGCTCGACGTCGTATATATATATTTTTCTTTTTACAAAAAAAATCGGCGTTTCAAAATTAACGTTCGCACATTAACATGTATTTACCTACTTTCGTTCGGCCTTAATCGTCGGCTGTGCGCACGTGAAAAATTTCCCATACGAACCGAATGCTATACATTACGCACGATGTATCTATCGGCGCGAGAAGAGAACAGACAGAGATATTAATTTATCTATCGAAATAAATCGATCCGCGATCAAACGAAAATGTCAGCGGGCGATTAGACGAGCTCTTTCTTTCCCCTAATTCGCTCGTGCGCGCATGACTACATAACGTTACGTACCAACGAAATTACGTCCATTATGTAGCCGGTAGGGCAAATATATACCAATGTCAACGTAACGTAATCGCTCCTTTTTATAAATATGTATTTAAATTCAAATACACCCACGCGCGCAAACATATTGATACGTGGGAAGGGGTCAAATAAATAATAACACAAGAATTACGTGGTAGATTGGGGGGAGANTACGACCACCTGGGGGTATACACACACATATACCCTGAATTTATATACAATAGAGACGATGCTCATGGATATAGGTGCTACATCAGGAAGACAGTATAGTGTGCTTATCACCTTTTACATACGTAAGCATGTACAACCGCCGCTTTCTGCGCGATACTCTCGATAAATGCGCGCAAGCTCAATTAGGCTCAGCGAATCGCATATTTTGTATCCCTTTTTATCGGTTCGTCCGATTTTAAAAGTAAGAATGAATTAATCATATATGTGTGAAGAGTGAGAGAGAGAGAGAGA